AATCAAATACCCATGATGTAAAACACTGGAATTACACAATTTCCTCATTAATTATGCAAATGAAGTCATTATTTGTATAATTTGCATCCAATAATGTAGATCTCTGCCTAAGCTACCCACATACCAAAAATCAAGAAAATACATTGTTCCTTTGTGAATTTATCGGCTCTGAAAGGTTTCGCCAGAAACCCCCTTGCAGTTCCAGAACAAGCTGTTAGGTGGACCAAACCCACACCACTTACTACTGGCAGGTAAAGCTATCCACCACTCAAAAATCAAGACCATAGCATGTCCAGGACAAAAGATACAAAAAACGGAAATTCTGCTGCAGTACCAAGGTCATCCACCAGGAGGCCCATATTTGACCTTGCCCTTTGTCTTTCCTAGACTTACCAACATACCAAATATCATCACAATCCATAAAGGTTTTATGAAGTTATGCTGACCACAAAATTGCGGAAACACACACAGACACACACACAGACATACAGACAGACACGCCAAAAACAATACCTCCATTTTTCATGGAGGTAAAAATCTACATTTTCAGTTAAAAATAGCTCCAAATGCCACAAAACTGGAAATAAAATGAGATTCCTCCATGCATACACTAAGGTACTTCACTCAAAATGGTCAGGAAATAGACATTTTCCCACAAGTCGCCCTCTACTGCCATTTATGAAACCATTATCTCCTGCGCTGCTAGGGAGGTATATTTTCCCTAGCAACGGTTACCATAGAAACATAATATAGATTTCCAAGGCCCTTTAAATTAATAATTTTCCTCGATTAGGAGTTTTCTTCAAGTTTTCCATATAGTGTGCACTCCATTTTGCTGGGAAAGCAGCCAAGTGCCTCCTTAGCAACGGCCCTAGCAACGGTTTTCCCCACAGAAGGCCTTTAAGAATAGAACTTTTAGACACTCATATCTCCGGATAGAATAGACGGATTTTTATGATTTAAAGCTTGAAATGTAGGAAATGATACAAAAAGTCAGATGAATGCATGCAGCAGGCTCAAATATGTAATCTGAACATTTTACAGGTTTTGAAAAGTAAACATTCTATTTTTTTACCAATTTTTACCAAAAATTCGAATTTCGAAAGCTCATAATTATATAACGAATCGAAACATGACATATCGAAACAAAATTAACATTTTTGTAATCCTTGGTTCCTGTTTTATCATTCCATGAAGTTACACTGAAAAATATCCGCATTTGATTATTTGACACTCCCCTTTGCATTATAAGTGCAAAAGGAAGCGGTTCATATGAGGTCAAAGTTCAAGGTCAGATAGCAAGGTCAAAGCTACCAATGTGCAACGGCTATCATATCAAAAAATATTCCACAGACACCCTTCTTTTCAAAAACCATGATGAGAATTTGCCACCTCAGGTGGTACCGATATCTCCTCTGGCCCATGGACTACAAGTACAACGTGTTGTGGGTACGCCTAACGCGTTCTTACCAACAACCTTACAGCGCTTCTAAAGTTTTTGTAAAAATCCTCTTGTAGGAGAGAAATATTGCGTCATTTTTATATGCAGACACCAGGCATCTCTTACCTGCATTTCTGTACACACAAAAAATGCAAAATCTGGCAGAAAAATAAAATTTTAGCATCTATTCCCGTGCAGACCACAGCCCAAGCCGTCCCTAGCAACGGTCATAGCAACCAATCTACTGATTTTAAGTCTGTGGATGTGTTAATCTTCAAACACTTATATCTCCTGATAGAACTGATGGATTTTGAAATTTAAAGTTTACCATTCAGAGAATGTTCAGCTGTATCAATCAAATATATATTTCAAGGCCCCATAGGTAACGGGAAAATATACATGATTATAAAATTTAATTTCTACACTTTTCTATTAAAAATTCCAAAAATTATCAGCTTTTCGAAGCACATTGTGCTTTACAACGGCTCAAAATTTATTTTGATATAAAAAGTGATGTCAGATACAGTAATACACCTCATTTTTTTCACATTATAATTGGTTTCAGGAACAATTAGCAGGTACTAGCTTCCTAATACATCGTTTTCTTGGAAAAGCAGGTTGCCTAGCAACCGTTGCTAGGCAAAGGACAGTTCGCGATGGCTCCACCCCTGAAATTGTTTCTAGTGTCGTGTAGAACATTTGTGCCAAGTTTCATGCTTTTATCACCATTTGAGCAATTTTCGCACCGATCGCCTAGGCTAGGACATTGCCTCATATCTGGGTACAGCCGTCTGGTATCCATTATGATGCAAGGTTATTATCAACTAGTTACAGTCATTCAATCCACCGATCAAGCTGAAGTTGGAAAGGATCAGTTAGAGGCAACGATCTTGTAATTATATGTAGTCCTAACGTTCACGTTTCTGACGACTTTTCCTCCCTACAATATTCCCCAATATTCTTCTTAGCCTTCTTGGCCCATAGGACGGTAAACGGTTAGCTCTTACCAGGCATTCGAGTGCGACTACGCCGCCTACTGACTACCGCGCTGAACTGCACCGAGAACATTGCATCAGACTGAGTGGTAAGTCACTTCCAGGATACTTAGTAATCTATTGGAGTGGTATGCCTTTCTTGTTCAAAAGTGTCCTTCTGGGTTCATTTAGGGGTATGGCATTCGAATGTTGGCTCGATTTGGACCCTCCTGGGGGGGACTCCAGTTCAGTGTCCTCAGGATGGGACGTTACGCCTTCAGTCCCGTGAATGAGGGCTTCCAAAACCTCTAGCTCTGCACGTTGAAGAAGCCAATGCATTTATCCAGAAGAGAAGTGACCCGGTGTGTTTGGACAAATTCCCGG